AAGAAATTTATGAGGGCATAAGTCTTATGTAATCTTACCTCACAAGTTTCTTATGATTATCACATAATTTATTTAATTCTTTCACTTGTATTCTTTACTGAGAGGTTAAGGCAATCCTAGACTCCTTCTCGAGTCCTTAAAATAAAACGAGGCTTCTAGCCTATTTCAGTCTGATGGTACCGATACTAAACCCTTTAGTATCGATGCGACCCTTGACTATCAGTACCTACCCTTGTATCGGTACCAAATTTGGCTATTGGAATTTAAGACCTAACTATGGTATCGATACCAAATTAATAGTATTAATACTCTTTGTATAAAATAGCGATACTACCCAGCCAAAAACTCTGATATTAGTCATTTATAATATTCTTAATGAGTCTTTATGAACAAGCATCATTATAGAGCTAAATGTTTCATATCATTATTAACCAATATGCAACTCAAACTCTTACTAGTATAGGTTAACTTATTCACTTAGGCCCATAAGGGTAATTCGATAAATTTTCATGGTACACAGTTTCTCTATCGCATTATTCGTATACTACACCACCTCGCTTGCAAGTATATTCTTCACAATGATTCGTCGTTCATGAATATTTTATACAAACTCCTTTAAATGTACTTTTAGGGTTTCTTACTCACTCAGGGTATTTTTGGTAATTTAGGTTGCCTGGAGGGTGTTTAGATCATTTCATAATTTATGACCCCTTTCTAAGCTTAATTGTACATTTTACAACAATCTATAACCATTCAGATGCAACGAGTGACTTTTTGAATCATTTGGTATTGAAGAGTATTGATAATGTACTAAGTAGTATTGATACGGGTATTGATATGAGTATCGATACTCTAGGAATAATATTGATATGTGTATTAGTACTCCAAGAAAAAATCAATACTCACATGAACAATATCGATACTACGACTTATAAAACCCTATATAAGGCTCGAGAATTGCCCGAAAACCCTCCCAAACACTAGTTTGTTCCTAAATCAACAAATAAAGCTTAAAAAAGTCTTATATGATAATCTAGGACCATAAAAATATAATCTTTACAACAATAACATCATCTAGGGCATGAATAAATTAAAACCCCAAATATGCTCAAATACTCAAATCCCCAACAAAGCTTCACATTTAGGAAATTTATATCACAACAAAGGATTAGAAATACACTACCTCAGCTTAGGAATCCGAAATGAAGTTCTTTTCTTCAACTACTCTTGTCTTTCTCTTCTCCATTTGCTTTTGAACACTCTAAACCCATTTTCTCTTGCAAAATAAGAAACTCAAGGCTTGAATCATTAAAACAATGTCGATGGAAGAAATATGGACGAATTTTGAAGTATGAGAAATGATTAAGAACTTACCTTTGAGCTATGGAATTCGGAAAGGAAGAACAGAAATGAAGGATGAAGAAGATAAGATGAAAAATCTCTCATCTTTTAAAATGGGTTAATTACACTTTTGGTTATTCTTAACTTTCCATAATTCAAAAATCTCCCTTACATGGCTAATTGGGCACAATCCCAACCCAATTAACCCAATGACTTAAATTATTATTTCCACGAGGTCCACTTACCTTTCGAGTAAACATGAAACTACTAATCCGAAATTTAGGGTGTTATAAGTTAATTCAACAGGATGAGGTCAGTTCAATAAACCAAGTATTTGGTTGTATTGCTCACAAGTGAACACCAAAGCAAAAATGGGATTGATAGCAGTGCCAGAAGAGGAACCAAAATTAGGCTCATGAGATGAAGGTTCAGTCAAGGATGTCACAGCCATCACAGTCGAAGAGCCCTTATTTTTTTGTGAATTTGAAATATGGGGGAAAACCGTGAAGATGGTAACAATTGTCTTGTTTATGCCCAGGAATCTGGCAAAAATCGCATGTACCATTGAAATTTTGACGATCATCAGAACCAGAAGCGGTGGAAAACATAGCAGTGGCTTTTAAGAGTGGAGAGACAGTAAACAATTGAGAACGATGTTATTCCTCTTCACTATAGCAAAACAGAGATTTAGCGGCGTTTTTAGTCCTATAACGACATTTTAAGCGCCGCTAAAACTACTTGCAACAATAGGAAAAACGCCGCAAGAAGCGTCTGCCATACCAGCGCTGCTAAAGTTCGCGGCGTTTGAGAACAAAAAACGTCGCAATAGGCCAAGATCTATAGCGGCGTTTTTGGAACAAACGCCGCAAAAGGTCTATATCTATAGCGGCGTTTTTGAAACAAAAGCCGGAAAAGGTTAGATCTATAGCGGCGTTTTTTTTATACAAACGCCGCTAATTACCTTTCTTTAGCTAAGATTAATTGATTTTTGGATATTTCATTTATGCTCTACATCACCTAAATTTAATAGCATGTAGCTTTATCTAATTAACAACACACGTTATGCAGAAAAATACTTAACAACAAAATAAATTAAAATTTATAAACATTAAAATTAAATGTAATGTAATTTGACATTATTCTCTAGAATTTAGTCTAGGCTCTTTCACTTTCAATTAAAAAAAATATTGTTCACTAGAATTTAGTCTTTATTGCTCGTTCGTGGGGAAAGGAAGTAAAAAAAAACAGTTTTCCTTGTTTGATGAAGCATCGTTAAGCTTTTCCTCCGTGTAAACTGTATATAGAGAAGCTCTTCATCCATTTCACCAAATAAATCCCCTAGCTCCAGTTCACCAAGAAGACTCTTTGCGCACTTCAGTGCTTCACTTGAAACAGATAACGACTTTTCACCTAAGGTAAAAACTCGAATTTGATCCAATAGAATAGACAACCATGAAAAAAAATAGAATGAAATCAAAATGGTACAATGTTAAAAGACATATCAAAGTTCCTTTTACAGAAAACTCAATGTTACAGACAAACACAAGCTGAACAAGTAGTTCAAACATACAATGAAAATAATTGATATAGGAGCTTAGAAAGGAAAATGAGAAAACGTTGATCTTTTAAAATTCTAAAATGAAATAGAAAGTAACTAAGCTACTAGCTCCAGTCCAACATATTCGCCGGGGTGAAAGCACAAACAACAATGAAAATTCATACCTTGATTGCATTTTGAACAGAAGAAATGTCTTCAAACACCACAAAAGCATAACAAAAACCAATAACATCTTGCATGCAACTAATACAAATTTAGTTTATTTGAAGTTATATACGAAAAATAATCAGAAGAGAAGAAAAATAATTTACCTAGCGGTTTCAGATAAAACACACCATCAGGCTTTATTCTTCCGAAATTCTTGAACTCCTCAATTTCAGTAGCAGTTACAGTAGAGGGCAATTTCTCACATAGACAGATTTCTATTCATCAGTAAAACCTAAAAGAATGAGGATCAATAATCAGATTGCAAATCTTAATCCAACTATTATATGCATTTCAACCAGTGAATATTGTCTCAACTCTAAGCAAGAAAAGGCATAGCTGGGGTTTCTTGCACAGTGCTGACCATTAAACTGCAAAGATCTAATTGAGAAACATTAAACTAGTTAAGTCTTTTTCCATCTTAATTCCTTGAATTTTTAGTCTTCCCCATTATCTGCACTTTGTAGGTCAACGTAGGTGAGTAAAGGAAAAAAGAGTCGTCTGGTCACCACACTACCAACCTAGTTACAAGTGCATAAAACCATTACATGAAAACTTAAACATTAAAGCAACATATGACCAGAAAAAGCAAGCATGCACCGAATCATGTACATACAAGTTGAAAAATGGCATTTGTGCTCAAACCTTTTTAAATCAATCATGATTGCACATCAACTTCAACAACTAATAACATTAATAAAAAAAATCAAACACAAGAATCACCTTAAAACTTGTTCACTACTCTGCACATTTCATACTATAGGTTGTTTCCTATAGCACATTCTGCATGGATCCAGTCCAGAAGACCTATAGTACTTATGGACACATACTGTTAGATGCCCCTACATCCTGAACAACAAAAGATGAAAAATGATAAGAGAGAGAATATATAACGAGATTGCACTCGGGGACCAGACATCTAAACTGAAAGGTTGAATAAAATCCCCAAAAGGATAGAAACATTATTCAAATCAGAAGTGGAAGACACAAAATATTAAGCATCTATGTATATGCCGTTCAGGATGTATATGATCATATGTGGTCAGAGTTGAACAACATAATTGTTTGCATGTGGAGATCCAAGTATTTATTTATCTAACTGTAAATATAATATACGAAGAAGGAAATACATATACCAGCATATAATCCCTTTAGTCCTTGCTCTTTCCATATTGAACATCCATCTTGGAACATTCCGGTGTAATAACCATACATTTGTTCACCAGATTTCATTCGCAATTGGTCATTCATGATAGCAAAATTCCAAGAGTTTCCTGAGCCTTGAACCTGCATGCGTTGCTTAATCACTTCACATGGAACATATACAAAAGAACCAAGTGTATCACCAGAAAATCAGAGAAATACAAGATAGAAATCAGAGATCATTTGTGCATTTCAAGCAACATCAGATCATACAGAGAAGATGAAAAGTGGGGATAACAAAGTAAATTTTTGCAAAGGTGAAGCTACTAATATTGATTATGCGAATCAAAGTTTTCAGCAGGATGCTCCACTAGGGTTCTCCTTTCCTCTAAATACATCTTTGGTTTCACCTGCTGCTTCAACTGCTACAGGTTTCCCTCAACCAAAAGTTTGTCCATCGAAGTTTCCCGATCTATACTATATTACTGAATTCCAACCCAAAACCAATACGACTATGCATACAAAATTTACAATACGACTTATTACTACTATATCGATCTTATTACTACTATATCAAATGCATTCAACCATGAATAAACATTGCCAAAACCTTTACAATATCAAATGATTTCGTTCATTAATATGTCAAAGAACATTACAAAAGCGATTTATGACCTGAAACAAACATGGTAAGTATAATTCATGACTACAGTATATACAATCCTTCTCGTCAAAGATGAGAAAATAATAGTAATTTGTATCTGTAATAGGGAAAGCTTATCACAGTAAAAACAATGCTGAATGTACTTGTGTTTCTGTTGTTTATTTTATTACGATGTTACCATACTATTTTCCTTGCGTTGAAGAAGGAAGATACTCCTTTATTATCTCTGAGTCTAACTCTAACTCAGCTTTTGATTGACCAGGGGAGCCCAATTCGAGGAACCGCTCCATCAATTGAGGTGCCAAAGAATTGTCCCCGTGCATACCAAGTTGTCCATCCATATGGCAGTCAAGGTATACACCAAAAGTGAAAGCACATAAAGTAGATGATAGTGATGCAGCAAAAACAGATCTTACCACAAATTCCACTGTAAAAAGGATACATGTATTATAACCCCATGACCAAACTGATCCATCATCTGTTATCCATAGATAGGCGTCAAGGAAATAAAATTTAGATCAACTACAAACAGTGGGCATTCGGTGTGGCATTTTAACAAACATCAAAAAGACTATTCCAATAAAAAAAGCAAGTCCGAAAGTTTTTGCATAAAACCCAAGAATATAATGAACCTGCAAGAGCAAGATTGTGATCAGCGACAGCTATGAACTTAAGCTCCAAGTCCTGGAACTTGACCCGAACCGGGAAAAGTTCGTCGGATTCTGAACCAGTCCCAAGTCGTCCAAACATTCCTCTGCCCCATGAATGCACGTACCCATACCCTGCAATTTTTCAATCATTGCAAAATACATTATTAAAATCCCCCCATTTTAAAAATTCTGATCTCTATACTATATTACTGAATTCCAACCCAAAACCAATACGACTATGCATACAAAATTTACAATATTTCGACAGCTTTTCCATTTTAAATGACAAATAAAACTGAAAATATATTAAAAAACAACTAAACAATAGCTAGAACAAAATTCACAAATGAACCCTAAAAATCATAATGAAGCGTATGAGGGAAGTGAAATTCAAATCTGAAAACCCTAAAGTGTATGAGAGAGTGAGAGAAATGAAAACGTTAGGGGAAAAAATAAAAAACGAGGAGGAGAAGCCTGACCTGCAATAAAAAAGAAAGAGAATATCAGACATTGAAATGACGGAGCTTGGAATTGCTGAAGAATTCATTGACTGTTTCTTTGATTGATTTTTGCTCAGATGACGATTTCAACAAGTTCAATATGTTACACTGTTCTCGAAATTCAGCATCTTATTCCCCATTTTTTTCCCTGAAATTTTCTAGCGATATTTAGGGTTTAGAGTAAAGAATCCTTTCCTGTGTGAGTTCCTATGGATGAGAATCCAATGAGTTCAGATATGTTACTATTTATAATTTTTATATTTAATTAGCTATGAATAAGAACCCTTCAAATAAGAATGGAAGATTAATAAGATTCTGTTGGCTTTATTTATTTAGCGGCGTTTATATAAAAGGCTACTAAAGTGTAAGTCTTTAGCGGCGTTTATGATTAAAACGCCAATAAATTATGTGTATTTGGCGGCGTTTATATAAAACGCCACTAAAGTATAGTATTTAGCGGCGTTTATGCTTAAAACGCCACTAAAGTACAAGTTTTTGGCCGCGTTTGTATACTAATACCACCAAAATACTAGTATTTACCGGATTTTGTTCAAAAAATGACACTAAAATATAATATTTAGCGGCGTTTACATATAAAAGCCACTAACGTGAGTGTTTTTAGCGGCGTTTGTACAAAAACGCCACAAAGTATGAGTATTTACCGGCTTTTTTTCAAAAAACGCCGCTAAAAACACATTTTGTTGTAGTGCTTGCACAATCATTGAATAGGCTTGATTCACGGTTGAGAGTGGTTGCATAACAAGATTTGGCTCCAATTGCCATGTACGATTCATTCAAGCCCATTAAAAACTAGAATTATCGTTGTTGAACAAGATGTTGAAGGGTTTCCTGAGAAACCTTACATTTGCAGATATAGATAGGCACTAGGGAATTGTATTCATCACAAAGCAATTTCAACCGATTGAAGTACTCAAAGACAGTCGACTCACCTTGCCTAGCCGTCATGATCTCTTGGTGAAGGAAGAAAACGCGTGATCCATCCACCTTGTCAAACAACTCCTTGAGATCTTGCCAAACTTGAGCAACGTTTGAAGTAAAAACGATCCCTGTCGAGAGTTCAACACTAACAGTGTTAAGAATCCACGACAAAACAAATGCGTTGCACCGCTCCCATTGAGAGTGAAGATGCTGGTCATTGTTTTCCTTTCTACAACTCCCATCAACAAATTTGATCTTGTAAGAAGGGTTTTTTTGCAAGGAGGGTGAAACGCTTGGAATGACTCCAAATGTTGTAGTTGTCGATGTCAACAAGACAATGAGACACTAATAAACCGCCCGGCGTGTTCGACGGTTGCAGAACAAAGGGGTGATTAAAGTCAATCACCAAATCATCGGCGGCCAAAGGCTATCTTTGGAAAGAGGGAAAAACCTAAGAGGAATGAGAGAAACTGCCAGCTGATTCAAAGCACAAACCATATGAGGCACGATCAAGATAACCCACTAACTGATACCATGTTGAGAAATAATTTTCTAAAATATTCTTCATATATTTCATTTATTAGAATAATGAATGCAACATATACTTATACAATCAACTAATAATATATCTAAGAAATAATAAAGTAACTGCTCGTAATTAAACTCCCAACTACCGCTAACAAATTCAAATATAATAAAATTTAACATTTTATTGAAAAAATCGGGTATGCGATTCGGATTATTATTTAAATTTGCATGGCCAAACTTGAGCTAGATGTATCCAATACTACATTTCATTTTATTTTTATAGACGTGCTGTTCCAGGTGGCGAAAAGGAAGCAGTGTCACTGATTAACTTAGCTATATGCCCTACCTTGATTTTTGCATGGTATTTGTTGTTTGTAATTACACAATAATAATAAGTTTGAATAACTATTATAATTAATAAATTTTATCAAATAAATATAATTATACTTTTTAATTCTTAAAATATAATTTACGGGGTAACATCATTATGTACACGGATGAACTCCTATTATAACACGAATATGCGGTAAAGATTACTCATAATGTTCGAGATGAGAATATATCTTTATATATCTATTTATTTATTTATTTATTTATTTATTTTCTAGTATAATACAATATTACTATCTTATTTAAGAGTATGATTTTTGTTTTAAATTTAAGATAAGCCATCTTCTTTAAAGTTTGGCCTAACTATTGTTAAACTCGTTAAACTAAACCTAGTTATAAATTATTGCTTCAGTACCAGTCGCAGCCTGCATTGGTCTCCTATTATCCTTGATCATTCATTCCATATTTTGTTCTTAAATTAATGGCTGATTATTACACAGTTGGAGTTGCAGGTGCAGGTGCTGTAGCTTCTCTCTTGGGGTTTGTTCTCTTGTACTTCAATTCTCTAGTGAGACTTAGGGGAATAAGCACGATGAAAACAACAGCTTCTATGGAGTTTGTGAACGAGAACTGTGTAAAGAAATCTAGAAATTCCGAGGCTGTTGGGACGATGGATGTTATCGTAGTCGTGCTGGTGTTGTCGGTGCTGCTCTTGCCTATTCTCTTGGAAAGGTCCCAATATTCTCTGTTTTCCTGCATGGTTTCATCACGCTATATGTAACTTTACATGTTAATTAATTGTAATTTCTAATCAGACCGTCATCGATTCATACGTTACAGGACGGACATTGAGTGCGTGTGATTGAGAGAGACTTAAATGCATCTCAGAGAATTGCTGCCGAAAATCTGATGCCAGGGGGATACCTCAAGTTGATTGAGTTAGACCTTGAGGGTAAACAAGAACAATCCCAGATTTAAATAGCTTATACAGCATTATAACGTTACTATGTTGCTGGTGTTAGGCCATGACATTGAATGTTGGCACTGCAGAATGTGTCGATGAGATCGATGCTCAGCGAGTTCTCGGTTATGTTCTCTACATGCACGGAAAGAATGCCAGCATATCTGGAAAGATTTCAGTCCAATGTCGCCGGAAGAAGCTTCCATAATGATTTTTTCGTTCGAAGGTTGCGGGAGAAAGCTGCATCTCTTCACAAGTAAATTTCGATCCATTGATTTTGTTCATCTGATTCAAAAAACTATACTTCTCTAGACATGTTCAATATCCATGTCTTGATGATATGATCATGTAGTGTGAATCTAGAACAAGGGACAGTGACATCTCTGCTTGAAGAAAATGGGATTGTCAAAGGAGTGCACTACAAAGATGGGAGTGGTCAACTGCTGACGGCTTATGCTCCTCTCACCGTCGTCTGCGACGGTTGTTTCTCAAACTTGCGACGCTCTCTCTGCAATCCTAAGGTGAAAATTCTTAGGGAATCTTGTTGAATTCTATGCTTTGAGAAAATCTAAAGATGTTGATTGTTTTCTGCAGATTGATGTCCCCTCTTATAGTGTTGGTTTGGTTATTACAAACTGTAAACTTCCATGTGAAAATTATGGAGTTCTCGTAATAGCACCTCCTTCGCCTTTCGGTTTTTATCCGATCAGCTGCACCAAAATCCGTTGCTTGGTCGATGCTCCTCGTCAGAATTTACCTTCAGTTTCTGACTGCGAAATGGCCAATTACTTGAAAACTCAAGTGGCTCCCAATGTACTCGAATCTGTCCTTTATTGATTCATTTTGGGAAGACTATGGACTAACAACGTGACACGTACATTTTAGGTTCCTCCTCAATTGTACATTGTGTTTGATCATCGTCGTTTTGCTATCAAAATAATTTGGCTTCTTAATAAATAGAAAGTAAAAGGTAGTATAGAAAAGTATCCACAGGGACTATGGTTTTTATGATTTAGTAAACTCTTTGATTTAGAGAGGATAGAATTCCAAATTAAGTTTGAAATAAAATAAATAATTATAATTTAAAATAATAATAATAAAATAAGTAATAATAAATAAAAGTGGAAAATAATAAATTAATAAATAATAGTAGTAAAGGTAAAAGGGAGTTTTTAAAATTTGTTTTTAAAATAAAAGATAAAAATTAAATAAAAGAAAATAATTAAATAAATAATCTAAAAAGATTGAGATAAAGAGAAATTTATAGTGAAAGCAGCAACAGACTTCAGCTTTGTCTCAAATTCCTCGGATCATCAAAACAGATTTTTACTTCAAGATTCACGTCGGCTTACAAGGACAATTCTTCGCTGCCGACTAGGATTATGTTGTTTCAACAATAACTGGTTCCGATATCAGTTTCCTCTTAGTAAACAATTTTGCTAAGTGTATTCTCGGGAAGTCGAATATGCTTCAATAAGCAAATCCTTCTTCAAATGTTAAACATAACAACATCTAGACAAATGTCGAAATCGTTTTGATTTGAAAAGTAAGCTCTGAAAACAGAGAAATAAATCTGAAGCGATTTAAGTACCTTACAATTCTCACGTTTGAATTGAGCCTTTGCTTTAGCCTTCGGCTTAAAAGAAAATTAGCTAAGCATGATCAAATCATACTTAACATAATTGTTGAAAACGAACTTTAAAAGAAAATAAAGAAGTGTGCGAAAAATAGAGAGAAAACTAGAGAGAAAAAGAAGATTTAAATTCATATGAGAGATATATGTTTCTATGCTTCAAATTCCTAAAAATAAACTAAAGATAAATCCTAAAATAATATATTTTATCCTAATAAAAACACTAAAAACTATTT